TTTGTAATTTTCTAATATGTTAAACGGGATAATTGTAACAAACATTAGAAATTGTTCTGTCAAGTTTATTACTATTACAAAACAAAAGTCTTGAATTTAAAACATGGTATGGATTAGCTAGGAATTGTATATTGTTCGTGATAGTAAGGTTCAAATCCATGAAACAATATTTAATACTAGTAGGTAACAAATAATTAACACTAAATGAATTGATAAAATTATAAACTGGATCAAGAAAGACATATTACTTGCTGTCCTCAGGTTTATTCAAAGCTAAACCATGTGTGAGAGGTATGCTGTTGGTTGAGATTTTGTTTGCTTATTTGAGGATTATACATACGTAAATGATTTTATGTACAAATGAATTCGATTTGCCAGTATCAATTTCTATTCATTCTAAATCTTTTTACTTATGTAGCTAGTTGGGGTCATATATGGGTAGTGTGTATAAAAATCAGACGATAACAAAGCAAAATATAAATACGCTTGATTTCAGTATTTACTTATTAATATTTCAAAACATTCCTGATCAAAGTATTTGGATAATTTGTAAATTTATTTTATAACAAACAAACTTGAGTGATCTTAGTTAAGGTACTGAAATCTAAATTTTAAATGATCCTGAAAGAACCCTTCGACAAAATTTAGAAATATTATATTACAAACGAAATTTATCTAATGACCGAAGAATGTTAATTTACATACGCCACATCTAATAAACAAACTTATTCTTAATGAGATCAACTCCTAACATAGTAAATTCACATTTCAAATGATAGAATAGCCTGGATAGATAGACTAGTTAATTCTCAATAAATCAACTGTCGTTGATCTTTTCGGCAAGCAATTAAATTATTTCCTGTTGAAACTTTATATAATGAAAGTTCTTTAGTAATTATCATAGAAGATTTAAATTTTCTGTTCTGCAGACCTGTTTCGACTCCCTGGCTCAAAATGTTTATTAAGTTTTGATGTTTTATGATTTCCTTTTTTATTTTGTTTATCTCATTTAGATTTTGTGAATTAAAGATCTTTAGACAGGGAAGTATTTAGATAAGGGTTGTTTATTTATGATATCTTGTAAATAATCCAAGTGAACACTAATGATTTTATCTTATAAGATTTCAGAATGCTTAATAATGTGGTTGTTATTTCAGTATGATAGCCAGTGAAATATTCATTAATGTTTGTAAAAATTAAAAAATAACAGGAATTAGACATGCTTCCTTCTAAATGAAACAGATTTAATTGCTTAACTGACAGTAGTATTTTTATCAATCAACGGAAGTACTGTCTTTTGCAACTTTTTACTGAGACATAGCAACAAAGCTGAAATGTATGTAATCACTGAAGTTTTATTTAGATACAATCTTTATCTAGGCGTCATACGTATATACAGTATTTAAAATTATTCATAACAAGTAGCAGATATCAGTGAAATAGTTTGGATAAACTAGCTGATTGGCAATTAGACATTTTAATCACTGTCATATTCCATCATATTCAAGCAGATAATATGAATGAAGAATATTCATTTTTAATAAGTTCTGTTCAGGTTCTACAATATATCCAAATTAATAATCTCAAAATTAGGCCTGTGAATTTAGGATTGTTTGTAGCACAGAATCAAATCAAATCATTAATGTCCGGGTGATTAATACGAAGTGTCGATTTGAATCTACGTTAAATTAAATAATGAGATTATTGATCAGAATAAATATGATCAACATTGTGGTAAGAGAGATAATGATGTAATTACAAATTAGAAATCATGTAATATGCAGAATAATATGAATTAAATACGAATTAGTAAATACGCCTGGGTCCTGAATCAATTTCCTAAAAACATTGTCAGTGTTATAATTAATAATAGTGAGTAATGGCAAGATGTGTGAATAAGATAAGTTTAAGCTATGAATATGAACACTAACTAAATTGCGTCGCCATATCATAAAAATGATTATTAAATAATTAGGCCAGAAGTTGGTCAAGGTAAAACGAACGGTTGAACATACTTCTTTTCGATGAAAAGCTCCGGCATAGCGTACACATTTAAAAGTTAACTTCAGTATCAATCGGATGAGTAAATTGTTGTTATTTTTGCCAATATTTAAGCAATAAACAAATACTGTTATTTGAAGTTCTATAAATTTAGTGAAATCGAGTTATTTTAACTAATTCTAATTAGTTTCTCAGAGCTTCTTTAACTATAGATTTTCCAGTCAGTGTTGTGATTACTTACCAACGAAATAATAATGAAACGTGTATATATATACAAGGCGTCAAATCTTTAATAACAACATCACTAAGCTTACATTAAATGCGACGAACAAAGATTTTAAATCATTGAATGGCAGCGAGTATACCTATTCTTTCCTAGAACTTGCGAACTTATATACCCTCATTATTTTAGTAATTCAAAAAACCGAGTAAAAGGAAAACAAAAATCCATACATAGGACACATGAATTTATTGGTCTGTCTTCCAAGCGAAAGCTAATGATGGTTTTCAAAATTACACTACTTAGTTTATAATGTTCTTGTAAACAGTTTTGAAGTGAATCTCCCTCCTTTGAGATTATCCAATGATTCCCAATTAAGTGTTAAAGACACGAAGTTCAGCGAAGGGATCTCTTTTCGACGAATTTATTATCAAGCTGTACAAGCGCATATATATATATATATATATATATATATATATATATATATATGACTCTTTGTTAATTTACTAGTTCCGTGAGAACATGAACAAAGAATAAAAATGACTATGTAATAGAAAGATTGTAATACTGGATTCCGCAATACGAATAGTTACAATAACGGATAGTGTGCGTGCAGATAGAAAACCTAGTTATACTAAGTAAGCAACGAATTGTAATGTTAACAAAGTAAGATGATTAAAATGTTTTTGTAACAAAAATTAAACGTAATAGAACTGTAAAAATCAACTGAATATCAGAGACAGTTATGAATAAAATTGTGAGAATATGGGACATAAGTAAGGAGACAAATACAATAATAATAATAATAATAATAATAATAATAATAATAATAATAATAATAATAATAATAATAGATTAAGGTCAAGGTGACGATAACGATGAAATGTACTTTATTCGTTTGCACAGTCCCAGCTTGAGCTCATGGATGATAAGAGTTTCTGCTATTTTAAGGAGTTGATTATGAAGAACGGAACTTCTAACTTCTTTCCTTTTAACCCTGTAGAATCACATGTTCTCGTATTTCAGTTGAAAGCAAGCGCTGGCAACACCCTATGTACTTTGCTCCACGAGAGCAGGTGAATTGTTAGATGCACAAGGAGACGAGCATACGGGGAAGCTTATCTTTTACTGATACAGAAAACAGGTTCCAACAAATGAGTGTTATTCGCAGCTTTGGTGCATAGAACGTTCATTTTATCGCTACTGATAATCGATTTTTAATTGCATCAGTTGTTCGACCACCTCCAAATTTCAGATTCATATAAAGGTATTTCTTTAAATTAGACTACGTTCAGTAATTGCATAATTGTTTACCATTTTCTATACGACTGAGTAATCCGTTTATCGTAAAACTAATTACATTAAATTATTTTATTATTCCTTGTAATTTTAGTCAGTTTGCAAATGAAATGAAGCTATGAAATACAATGAATTCACTTTATTCTGAAAATTTTATTGTTTTGGCACTGTTAAGATTAGATTAAAATCACTAAACTATATGAATTAACAAGGTCATACACGTTATTTTATATACGATAATGATAAGTTAACAAACCGTTAAATTTTATTGCTTTATTCCTAAATGCTTCACATTATTCAGCCTAGTGATTATGTTACAATCTTTGCCGAAATGTTACCATCGAATTCGAGGACTGAACTATTAATTGAAGAACTAATATCCTCAAAAACGGTCTACACTTCAATTAGATAAAAACTTCTTTTCATTAGTAACCTAGACAACCAATAAAATTTAAAACTAATTAACAGGAAATCTTAAAATGTCACATTAAAAGCTTGCTTATCAAGACCCCTTGAGATGTACTAACTTATAATTCAATCGTTTATACATATACATAATTGTAACAATTACATCTTCACACATTTGTACACTAGGTATTCCAGCTATTGGAACATGTCAGAAAATAGACTGATTAATATAACAATAAACTTATGTATTACATGAAAATAAGTTTAAAATAATTATATCCACAATATTTCGTATCTAATCAAAATATATTCATGTTATATAAATAAATAGTATTTATCATCCATAAAATTTCCATAAAGCTAACTTATTTGTCTAATGTTAAATCATTGTGTAAAAAAAACTTATCAAGAAGATTAGAGAAAATTATTTAACAAGTTGTTATAGGCAATTATATTCACATGATTTATTCAATATCATCTCATTTGTAAAATAAAGAAAAGAAAAAGGAACATAAATCGAACACCATCAGCATCACTAATTTCAACTAAGAACTGTGATTAATCAATTGAGAGATTTAATCAATTATCACGTTAAATGCTCTTACTAACTATCATACATTAGATAAAGTTAGAAAATGAATTAAACATTATATAATTTCATTAATTTACAATAATTTGTTTTTATATTAAAACTTTATTAAGTTACATTTGTGATTCAGTTTCAGTTTCAATTTCAGTTTGGGAAGGACAGGAGGCCTGATGGCCTGTTTGAAATAGTCTTGTTTGAAATAACAATAGAACTATACAATCAACAATAAATAGATTAATTTGCAAATTGTTTACCTGATATGATGGTACTCATTCTATTGATTAATAAATCGAAATTTTGTTGACTATTTCTAAAATCTCCATAAATCTCTTCCGATATGTACAGATAATTATATGAGGTTATTGTAAATTTTTAGTGTTATTGTAAATTTTATCTAAAGACTTGATCTTCTTTGATTCTAGTCAAGTCCTATTTGAATCATTTAAATTAAGACTAAAAGATTTATTGCAATATCGTTTAGATTTAGTCTTTTTTTTCATTTTCATGGGAAGATTTTTCTAAATGTGTAAAAGATTTACTTCCGTGTATTGGACAATCAGAATGACTATGATTTTGTATTAAATAACTTGAATTGAAAACATTATCATTTTTATTTATTAATCCATGTATTGGACAAGAAGTTTGATAAAATGTTTTATCATGACAAATGTTTGTATTATTTTGATGCTTGCCAAAATGTTGATGAAATGAATATGATTCAAGTGAACTAGATATTTGTTTTGGTGATAATGAGCTATCAGATATTGAACAATCTTGATCCATTGAACATGTTATATAATGTTTTTCATTTGATTTATTTAAAGAATAAATTAATTCAGGGGAATGATTTCCAGATCTTACACTTAATGTATAATAAACTCTAGGTTTTAATTGTTTTATTGAAGAGTTATATTCATTATGATTTGGATTTAAATCAATTAGACTTTCACAATTTTGAGATGCATTTGATGTTAAATAACCCATATCACTACTTTGTGGTGAAGGTGTTTCTTGTTTCATTGAATGATTTAATAATTTTGTTTGTAATATACTTTTATTGTTATTATTTAATAAATCACCTGGATAACTTTTATTTCCATCATTTAATCGATTGTCTATCTGTTGAATCCTATCGATTTCCTGTACATTACTCAAATTTTCATTGTGTAATTTGGAAGATATGGAAATAAAATCAGTGTATATCTTGTGATTTTGATTACTATTGATAGGATTGACATTATTCTGTGTAAAAGGCTGAATATTATCGTTATTATTATTATTCGGACCACAATTTGAAGTTATCAACTTCTCATAACTAACATTATGTGGTTCAATATTCGTTTTCATTGCTTTATTAGACAATCTTATTTTATGATTTTGATGAGATAATCGTTTATTGTATATGCATTTTACTATACATAAACCAATTATTATAAATGTAACATTAAATACAACGATAAAGATAGTAATTATAATGGGATTAAATAAAAAAGTATAATCTAGTTCATTATTTAAATTTTTGTTAATTAATTGTAACTGATTACTCTTTTCATTTGATTTTTGTACATGAACATAGAATGTAGCTGAAGCCTGACCTTTATAATTACTAGTTTGACATTTGTAATAACCTTCATCCATAGTTTTATCTAATTGTTTAAAAAACAATGTAGTCGTAAATTTTATTCCAGGACTAACAGTTTGAATAATATGTGACCAATGTGGTTGTATTAATATCCCATTATAAAACCATTGAATATGCATTTTTGGTTCACTAATAAATGAACAAACTAACGTCAAATTTTCACCTTGTATACCATATACATGAATTGGTGTGGTAACATGATCAGTAAGATTTATATTTACGTTATTTTTATCATTTTTATCACCATGATGAGATGGTACAGTATGCATTAATTCCGGTTCACATTGTAATGAGGTTAAATTTAAATACATTAATGCCATATTTTGATATTGTAATGGTGAATCACATTCTCCACCTGGTTTTGAATTAACATATAAAGCTTTCTTGGGTAATCGATTTAACCATTGACGAAACCATAATATTTGGCAATCACATATCCATTTTACACCTTCTAAATTTAAATAAGAAAAATGTTCTGGTCTTAGACCATTCAATGCATCTTCCATAAGATTAGCAAATATATTATAAGCAAGATTTAAATGATGTAATCGATTTAAACCATTGAATGTATCTGGTTCTGTATAAATTTTATTTGATAATAAACTCATTTCTAATCGATTTAAACTCATACCCATACCATATAAAAATTTTGCTGGTAAATAACTCAATTCATTACCACTTAAATCTAAATAACGTACATGAATAAGTTGAGAAAATGCTAATACAGGGAATGGATTATGAAAATTTGATATTAATTGATTAAATCTTAAATCTAACCAAATTAATGTATTCACAATCGGTAGAAATGCCCGTTCCGTAATTTTATATATTCTATTATGAGCTAAAATTAATTTACTTATATTATGTAATCGTATAAAACTATCTTCATGTAATATTTCAATATAATTATATGATAAATCTAATTCAATTGTATTTTCATTTATAAATCCAGGTAATGTTGTTAATCCATTATGTGAACAATGAAATAATTTAATATCAGTTTGTAAATGACATGAATTACACATAATATAATAATTATTAATGATGATTAATAATATGAATAATAAGAATAACAACATTGAATACATTAATAATACATTTTTCATAATGCATATTTTACTGAAAAATACATAAAAAGAAAGCAACAACAACAACAACAAAAAATAGTAATCAATAAATCATTAAAATATTTCCTTTATTCTTTGTTTCTTTTTTCATGAATTCGGGTCGTGTTTTTTTTTTTCAATTATGATCATCATATTTATCAATGAATAGAAACAATGGTGAAAATCTGTTTACTACTGATATTCCATGAAGTTTATTAGATTCTCTCATGTTTTCTCTTTCTTTTTTCTTCTCGTTTTAAATATTAAAAAAAATATGTTTTCTTGTTTATTTTTATTTTCTAATAAAACTATTTTAGTTATAATAAGAGAATTATTTATTTATTTACTTATTTATATTAATATCCTTAAATTAGTTTATTTGTGTTTGTCATTAAAATACACGTTATCTGTCTGTTAAAATACAATAATTTTCTAAAATCAACCAATCAGAATTATTTTAAATTTTTATAAACACACAAAAAAGTTTTTTTTAAACCATAAAGAGACTGACATAACTGGAAATGAAATTGTGGTGTGTGCTACTTATATTGATATAAGTAGTATGTGACGCGAGTTAAAAACGTAATGTTTGTCAGAAGATCAAGAAAGGAAGAGTGGGAACACTTGTAAGAAAACTCATGAACAAGAAAATGTAGGACAATGGATTGATGTTTACAACAGGAACAGTCCAGGTTGATATGGTGGATTGATATTTTGCAAATTAACGATTTGCTATATGGTTTTCCTATTTTAGCGAGTAACTCTGTAATTTTGTGCTAAATACATTCGATTGTCCCTTCTAGTGTTCTTGATCACTACAAAATGACCAACTATCGGTTTGTTGAGTGTTTTATGGGAAATCATTTTTTTTCTTTTCCTCTTGGATATAAATCAAAATAACTTGGTGTTTAATCTTTTAAGCAAAGTTTATTTTCATAAATTTCGCATAATTTAAATTATAGATGGTAATGTTGAAAATAGTATACATTATGTTAGTTTCCTTTTAAATAAATCGATAAACATTAATGAATCTATTGTTGATTGGTGAAAACTTCCAGCAGACATTTGATTAAAGTGTATAAAATGTTATGTTATTGTGAAACTTCTCAGAACCAGTAAATAGTAAAGATATTTCATGAGAAATACTTAGTTCATCTGTTATTCGAGGTATTGCAATTCCTTCATAGCTTATTGAAATATAAATTAAGGATAATTTGTAATAACATATTTACAGCACTGGATAGCTAGACTATTATGACTGTTGCTAAAAGGGTTTGAGATAGTTTTCACGTTTTGTACTTCTAACTAACTTCACGTAAGTAATAAACCGGATCAATCATACATACTCTGTATGATAAGTGAGAGTTGTTAAAGAGCTCTTGTTATCGATCAAAATATGACTTCGCTTTCTTAGGAAGTATACATATGTTAGCGAATTAAAATATAGCTTGATTTTCTGAAGAATATGTAACCGAATTGTGCCTACATTCTCAAATCGGTTAGTCAATAAAAACTTTCCGCCTATTTTTTTACTCAAACAGCTGGTTGCTCTCGAGAACAAGAAGCACATACGTTAGTCACAGACTTAGACTACCACACAACATCATTTTCTGGGAGCCTGTCTTCAATTATTAATCAGAAATAAGATCAACAGTGTCTCTATTATGAAGCCACATTAAATCTATATTACGGCAACAAAAAGAGCTTTAAGCACGAGGATTTAAATTCACTGAGACAATGGAGCGAAAATGTGGAATTCAAGCCAATTCAACTCAAATGTTTGAGGTAATGGAATCACGTACTGAATCCCTAGCTAATCCAATGAGTGAGTATTAATTCAATCCCAATCCAGGTGTTACGTTTGAATCATAGTTAACGATAATATGAAGTTATTTTCCATATTGACGTCTCACATCACAGTGACTCCACAAAGATTCAATCTCTCCTTATTGAACATGAGAATTATTTAAATATTATTTTACCAAAAAAAACGTCTTATCATACTACTGTGCAAAAGTATTCGTGAATGCTTGCTACTCAGACTTCTTTGTTTACATTTTAATATAACTGTTTCAAAACCAATAAGAACCCAGAAGGTGCTTTCGTTATAAACGCCACGTTATTTAGTGAGAAGTGCGAGAATTTCAAGTTACATTCACTCTCAGATGATCAGTTTAGGTGTCTTACCATTGTATGCAAACTACAAGCACCAACTGATACAGGTATTTTTACGACAATCTGAAATCAAATAGAATAGGTAGCCGACTCGCTACTACAAGATAATATAAATGAGTGCCAGTGTATTATTAATTTCGAAAATGACACAAAAATGATCTAATTTTCAAACCTTAATGTGTTATATCATTTTTCATCCCATACAAATCATATGCCTAATATCTTAAACCCTATTTCACTTGGCTCTCGAAAAGTTTAATTTTTAAATTGGATGTCTAATATTTAGAATTATGACGCAGAATTTTCCATCATTCTCCAGAACCCCCCCCTAGTTACTGGAATTTTGTAGCTTGATATTCTTCTCGTTTCTTCACACTTATTAACTATAAACTTACAAAAGGTAGGACAATCGGTCAAACGGAGAAATTTCATGAAGGCAGCGAATTCTAATCACATTTTAATTATCGAGCTGAATGAATTCCGTTTATGTAGAATCCAAATATAATCGTAAATCCATACGTGAATATATATCTACTGATGCAAATGATGAAAATATCACATTATAGTTGGATAGTTATTCCAGTGTTACTCTGATTTCTGACAAAACTTAGCACAAACGTGGTTGGTCAAGTATTTATCATACAATAGTCTACTTAAAGAATGCATCTGGTGAGTCAATTAAATTTCAGTATTATCAAAAACATTATTAAATTTCATAGGCTAATTATTAGAAATATATGCTATGTCACCGATATATTCTTAACTTATTGGGTTTTGACTAGCTTACATGATGAAACTGTTTAGATCATTCATCTGACCTTATTTGTAATTAAGTATCTCGTTCATTATCTCAACAATTTCATTCCCATATGGGTGACAATCGTAAATAGAATTTCGCTGTTTTTCAAGATGATCATGTTTGCTACATGGAAGTGAAAGCTAAATTAGATTTGAAGCCAGATGCTAAACTCGTTTTCCAGATTTTCTTGTACCATATAAACCTTACACATTGGCGGATGACGAACTAGATAGGTTGGAAACGTTGATTGTTCTACAAACAGCCAACCATTTCTTATCAGTCGCACTGACTACGATGGTAGATAAGTTTAGTGACTCGGTTTGACTATGTGAGGATTTTTTGGCTAACTTGAGTACTTCTCCAGCAACACAGTAAATTGGAATTAAAAAACGACAATTCAATATCGCCAGTGTTAATCTGTGATCTACGGGGTCAACATAGTTGGAAATAAAGTAACTACATACAGATGACATTGGTATATCACGAACTGATTAAAATCGAAAAGTGCAAATCAGTTCACTGAACTCAGTTTCTACATTGTATTGTGCTTACCATAAAACTTGAAAATTCCTGTTTTAAGTTCGCATATATTCCTTATTGTCCAATTATAACACCTTATTGGAAGTCAAACATTTACTCAGCATTAGCTTTGATTACAGGGGTTCATCTACTAGTGTCAGTTCATAACGAAAGATATAAGAACGTTTGAAAATGACTTAACTAAATCATTAGCTAAAGTTTTCAAATAATTACTAAACCTAAATAATTCATCCGTATTACCAAACACTAGGCATTATGCATGTAAAAAGCTGGAGTAATAGCCTACTGGTCTACTTCTTATAGTAGATAACATTTTAAATCTGTATACATCATTTCATTGTTCTAATCTCTTTCACTGTTTTTAAAAAAATATCTTTATACCATGCAAAATTCCCCAAATAAACTCATTTTCTTCATAATCCTTATGATAAAACCATATTAACAGATATAGATATAATAAAAATGTAGGACATCAAAATAACAGACTAAGTCTCATATTTGATTCTGTTTTGTCATGTATGTGTGAAATGTTTAAAGTTTCAAACTATAACGAGACACCTAACATCTGTGAGCTAAGTTCATATAAGTATTATAATAAGGCAACATTTCAGGTTGTTGTTATATTGTATTAGTTCATACGAAGAGCTGACGTTTTGAAAGTACATATTAATCGATTAGTTGTTCTTTGACTTAACTTTTGTTTGCTTGTTTATCTGTCTGTAAAATCACGTATTTATTTATATTTTCAGCATCTTGAATTTGCCTTAATTGACCAAGTGATTTACTTCTGATAAGTGAATTGATAAAGCTGAAGTTTCTTTTAAATTCCTAAATTGTCATACATCAACTGATTTTTTAGTGGAAGTTCATTGTTTAATTAAAACATACTTTTAATAATCAAGAACTCTTAGATAATCAAAGACTGTGAAACATTATTCTTAATTTATTCACAGAAACTGTAAGCTAGTAGAATTTATTCCTGATGAAAAACAGTCCCATGAAAACAGATCAAGTACAAGCTTCTTCTGGTGTGTTTTATAGAAGAATTTCAATACATCCTGTTCGTTTCATAAAATTGTACCATTCATATACTATTTTATTCATTTACTGTAGATATATTTCTTTTTCTCCTGAATGTTACGTTCTGTGAGTTATTCTGCATAGGAATATCCGTTTGCTAGGGTCTACATAAATATATATAACCGATTTGTTAGAAAATGTGTATCAGTTCACCAAGTTAGCTAAGTGAACTACCAGATATCCTTCAGAGTAAGTCAGGTCTTCATAAAGTAAGATTATTTTGAACCTATCAGCCAAAATGTTTTAAATTTTATGATAAAACGTTATTTACCCATTTGACTTAACCTTTGCTCTCTTAGGAAACTTAAATAAATTCAACTAGATG